GCCTACATGTGATCTCTCTCTGTGTCAAATAAATAAATAAAATCTTTAAAAAAAAAAAAAAAGTATGTTACTGAGGGGCGCCTGGGTGGCTCAGTGGGTTAAGCCTCTGCCTTCAGCTCAGGTCATGATCTCAGGGTCCTGGGATCGAGCCCCACATTGGGCTCTCTGCACAGCGGGGAGCCTGCTTCCTCCTCTCTCTCTGCCTGCCTCTCTGCCTGCTTGTGATCTCTCTCTCTCTGTTGAATAAATAAATAATATATTTTTTTAAAAAAAAGTATGTTACTGAAATGAAATTTAATGATGTACACAAATATTTAATAACATGAAAAGACATTTAATATCTGGTAAGGGCTAAAAGCAAACTACAAAGTAACTTGTGTAGTGTCCATTTTTAAAAAAGAGGTTCCTTGTTCACTCAAAACATACTTTTTATCTTTAGGCTTTTCCTACATTACCCCCCCGCTTTTTTTTAAACAGGAAGCATGTCATTTTATAATTAAAAATAAAACACAAGATTCAGGATAAACTAAAGATCTAAAATTTTAAAAACCAAAAGATTTCTAAAAGGAAATATATAAGGGTATATGTAATCTTATATAAGGAGATGTGTGTGTGTTTATATATATATATAAAATCTTGAGGTAGGAAAGGTTTTTCTAAGCATATTAAATTCAGAGGACATAGGGAAAAACAGTGACAAGAATGACCACATAGTTTAATTTCATTATAGAAAAGAACAAGAGTTAAAAGACAAAAAACTCAGAGACAGTATCAGCAACATGTATAAGAAAGTATTATAAAGTATGAATAGCCATCATATATAAAAAGCTCCTAAGCATCAACAAGAACTTCCAAAAGAAAAATGTGCAAAAAGAAAAAAACCAGGCAATTCATGGAAGAGGAAATAAATAGTCAAAAAAGAAATCTGAAACAATGTTTGATCTCCCTTTTAGGGAGAAAGGGAGAGAGATTTAAATTTAAAAACCCTTATTTTTCACCTACCAGATTGACAACTGTCAGAGTTGCTCAGCCCTCATGTTTCCTGGGCTGTGTGTATGACTCAGTGTAGCTGTTTTAGAGGGCAAGTTTGCAATGTCTACCAACACCTCAAATGTGGACTCTGACCCCGCAAAGCTTCTGCTAAGACTCTACTATTAAGAACTTCGAACACAGGGGCACCTGGGTGGCTCAGTTGTTAGACGTCTGCCTTCAGCTCGGGTCATGATCCAGGGGTCCTGGGCTCGAGCCCCGCATCAGGTTCTCTGCTAGGCGGGAATCCTGCTTCTCCCTCTCCCACTCTCCCTGCTTGTGTTCCCCCTCTTGCTGTGTCTCGCTCTGTCAAATAAATAAATAAATAATCTCTAAAAAAAAAAAAAGAACTTCAGACACATGGGCAAAAATACCCACCCAGGAAATCCTCATTATATAAATCCCCACACTCAGTTCAGGGAAGCAATTGTCAGAAAAAAAAAAAATGTTACCTTCATGATCTAAAAACCACTTATAAGATTAGTTCCCACTCACACAGCATTCCCCCCACCAGTTAGCATCCTGATCCAGGTCAGTCATCTGCTGAATACTAAAGGACACCAGGTACAGATCCTGTGTCCACACCTGGCATCTGCCCCACCCTTCCCCACTGATGGGTCTCTGGTTTGGTTCAGGGCATCAGTGTGCCCAGCCAACCACTTCCTTTCCCTCCATGGTAGCCTGGGTGGCTTTGGACATGGTTCTCAGACCAAGATCTCAGTAGGTCTCCTGAAAATGTCTGGGAAAACTTTTCCCTGCCTGATAAAAAATGCTTGGCACCTCCCCTTCCCACTTTATCTGGTTCTGGACAAAAGTGTGATGGCCGCAGCTGCAGCAACCACCTTGCAACCATGAAAAAGAATCCCCCAAATGGGACTCCTGGGTGGCTCAGTCAGTGAAGCATCTGACTGTCTTCTTCCAGACCCCCTGTTATGGGAGAAAACTGAACTGCCAAATATTTAAGCCACCGTATGAGTTTTTTAATTACTTTCAGGCAAACACCTTCCTAACTCATATATCCGAGGATATATGTGCAATGCAAAACAAATGCAAAGAAAATGATCTTGCAAAATGTTGTGGGAAAAAATCATAACCCTCCCGCCTAAAATTAACATAACCTTTTGGTGGTCAAGGAATGATCTCTCACTCCATACTCTCTGATTTTATTTTAATTTTATTTATTTTTTTGACAGACAGATTACAAGTAGGCAGAGAGGCAGGCAGAGAGGGGGGAAGCAGGCTCCCCGCTGAGCAGAGAGCCCGGTAAGGGGGGCTCGATCCCAGGACTCTAGGATCATGACCTGAGCCTAAGGCAGAGGCTTTAACCACTAAGCCACCCAGGTACCCTGATTTTTTTTTTTTTTTAAACAAAAAGCATGGGCGTCCTTTGAACCAAATATCGTGGATGGATATTCAGGAGTAATGTTGAAAACAGTTAATCACCAAAAACAAAAACAAAAAAGAACAAACAACCAGCTGATCACAGTTGTAGCAATGGGTACTGACCGATCAGAAGGACATCAGCTATAAACAACCAACAGTTAGACAGTATACATGGAATATATGGCACAATTAAAGCCTATATGTGGTGTACGTAATTGTCCATGTGTATAAATTGGACAAAATTTTAATATCAATTGAACAAGAACCCACTTGCCACATGGACTGAGACTCCCGAGGCCCTGAGTCTGTGTAGCAAGTGGCGTTGCCGATGATCAGAATCCGTGTTTATCTGACCTTTCCTTTCTCTGGAATATCTAGCATCTACCCCACCCTGCTCCGTACCTCCCACAGTCCCGCCCACCTTGGGCCTCATCCTCTCCTGCTTGGACCAACCACCTGCCTCCGTCCTGGCCTACCAGCCTCCATCCATCTCCCACATGACCCTGAGGAGGGTTTCTACTGCCCAGATTCAGACCTGCTCCTCTCTGGTCACGACCCTTCCTTGGCTCCCACTGTCCTTCAGACAGAGTTCCGGCTTCTCAGCCTGACTTCTGAAACGCCCCTGTTCCAGTGCCTGCCCACCCATCCAGCCCAATGTCCAGTAGCACACCCAGCTACTCTGAAATCCACGGGTGTTTCCAGAAAGCACCAGGTTTCTCCACACCTCTTTGCCCACACAATTCTCTCTGCTAGGTACACCCTTCCCTCTTCCATCGGTCAGGTCTGCTCATTCCCCAGATCCCTGACATTGACTGACCCCTTCTCCTGTGCCAGGCTCTCTCCTAAGTGCTCAACATGACTGAACTCATCCAGTCCACACACATCCTTATGAGGCAGGTACCATTCCTGTTCCTGTTCTACAGATGAGGAAACCAAGGCACAGAATAAGAATGAGCAAACCATAACTAAATGTGGAAATACGGATGGATGTCACAGATAAGACCAAAAAAAAAAAAAAAAAAAAAAAAAGGATGCTGGACACAGAAGAGCAGAGAGGTTGTGGAATGGAACAGAATGGAGAGGTGTGGGATGGGATGTG